AGACAATAAAAACAGCAAACCTGAAGCCCCACCACCAACCGTGCTAGCCCCAGAAAAACTGGAGAGGAACATGCCAAGAAGTGACCTGGAAGTCCAGGGCCACCATCCATGCACCCGGCCCCAACAGAATCCGAACAGGAGACAACAGTCCTCCGAGGAGGGCAGAGGATCCAGGCGCAGACTGAAGAAGTCCAGAAGAACTGCAGACGGGAAAAGCTCATGACTGCAAAGAGCAGACGGGAAGCCCAGAAGGATGGGGCGGATCGACCACGCCCCACGCACCCACGAAGAGGAAATGACGAAGCGCAGGGGAAGAAGCCCACCCCGCCAGCTCTGAACCCCCACAAGGGGGAGAAGCCGTCCTCCGACGCCAGCAGAGGCCGGAAGACAACCCAAAGTGCCCACCAACAGCGGGACCAAGCGAGAGGCAACAGAGCAAGCTGCTCCTCCAGCGCCCAGTCAACAGAGAAGGGAACAGAACCCCTTCCGAAAGAAAAAGTACACTACCTAAGTCATGAGGAGAGACTACGGGAATTAAACCACACTTCGCTGGAAGATGAAGTGAGGGGAGACCTGATCACCACATTCAAGATACCCAAGGGAATCGACAGGGTTGATAAGGACAGGCTATGTAACACAAGGGGCACACGCACTAGGGGACACAGGTGGAAACTGAGTACCCAAAAGAGCCACAGATAGATTTTTTTTTCTTTTTTTATTGTCAGAATGGTAACGGGAAAGCACTAGGAAGTAATGTGGTGACTCCACACACAAGGAACGAGGCTGACCCCATACAATGTTACATGTAGACATGATAGAGCCCAAGAGGCACAGGAACCTATACACCTGTTGATAGACGGTTGAGAGGCGGGACCAAAGAGCCAGAGCTCAACCCCCGCAAGCACAACTAGGTGAGGACATATATTGTAAAAGTACAAGTCGCCGACTAGTGGGCAGAGCACTACGCCGGCCAGGCAAAGAAGGCACAAAACTGCATCAAAAGGCCCACCTCGACAGCAAAACCGCAAAGTCCCAGCACAACCACAACATGTGCCAAGACCCAAAAAGATCAGTCTGCAAGCCAGGGAGACCCCGGAACCCCAAAAGGCAGAACCGGGTCACACGAGGAAACAAAGTCCCCTGAACCCACAAAAGGGGGCCCAAGAGGAAGAAACCTCCAGAACGAAACCAAGGAACCCAAAGGAACCCAGAATCGAACCAGGGGGAGCCCAAACCACCACATTTGCCGGCGGAGAACACCACTGAAAGGCAAAGCACAGCCCCCAGCAGAACCCCCTGGGAAAACGGTCCCAACAGATCGAAAACCGAGGGACAAGGTGTGGGAGCAAGCATACCAGCCAGGGGCACTGAGCCTAAACCCATAGGCTCAGACCCAAAATCAATACCCAAACGTTCCCAGAGGAACAGGCAATGGCAAGAAAACACCAGAAGAAAACACCAGAAAAACAAAGAAACGACAACAGGAGAACAAAACCCTGAAAAAAATTGAAAACTCACCCGAGACGCTCGCTCGCACACCCAGACGCATGTAAACAAACCGCAACGCCGCCCTGGTGGCCCGCCGGGAAACCGGCAAACGAAAATGGCCGCCAGCAGTGGCTGTGACTGACGCTAAATACACAAAAACACGCCAGCAAATGTGGAAAGCTAGCAGACTGGATGGGCGAAAAACGTCGCCCAACAGCAGGGGCAAAACCGCCCCAGAACTGATAGCAGGCAACCCCCACAGCCCCGGGAACCAACAACAGAGGCCCCGGGGCAGAGCCGTCCTCCAAGCCCTCCGCCCTTAAAGAAAAGCAAGAGTCCATGGGAAAGGCAACATGAAAGGGCCGCTGGTAAGACCCAGAAGCCTTGGCAGGAGGCACAGGCTCAAACCTCCATCCCCAACCCGAACGGGGCAGCCCCCGAAAACCGCACGAGTCTCTGCCGCAACTAAACCCCGCCCCGACCCCGAAACCCGCAGACGGTCTGGAGCCGGGAACATGGAGGGAAAGGGGCGAGCAGCACCTAACCAAACGGGGCGCCACGGGGCATTCGAGTGGGAAACCAACCTAGCATGTTGCAGCAACCTAACCTAGCTTGCAACACGGATGCCGCCTGTACTCTGAACAGTAAGAACATCAGGAGAGTACTGGAGAACAAGCAGAGAATCTCTCGCAAGACTCCGGGTCAAGGTGTCAGTGACCCAACAGGCAGCATGACGGAGGTAAAAATGGCGACTGTCACCAGGAGACAAGGGAACAGCAACCAACGATCCCGTACAAGACGGGTTGGAACCCGGAAGACACATTCAATGGTCCCCCGAGCCCAGACAGGGGTTTCCAGGGCCCGTAGGGTAACAACTACGGGAAGCCCGGGCAAGGTGTTGCTAACCGGTTAAGAAACCCAAACATAACAAGAGGGTAGATTATAGCACTGAAAACCCGAGACGTGTACAATCACGGGGGCCTAGCAGAGGGCCGCCAAACACTACCAGTGGAACTATAACCACCTTAGGCAGACCCCCACCAGGCATGAAAAATTAAAAACAAAAGAAAAACCCCGCAAAAGTACACCGTCTCCAGAGGCAACAGAAACCGGCCGCCGCTTAGGTGGCAGGCTGCGCAACACCTTGACGCCCTAACCAGCACAATACCAATCCCTACCCAGGGCCAAACAATGGCCCCAAGCCCCAGCTGGCCCCAAGGGCGAGGCAAATGCCGAGCACCAAGAACCTCTACGGGAATGGTTCCCGAACACCCCAGGGAAGATAACCCTGTTACGCAAGGGCAGTACTCACCGGGCGCTTAGGGAAGTCAGCCACTAAGCACATGCAGCCCCAGCACTGATGAAATACTCCTGGCCACCGCACAACACAACACACGGCAGTGAACGCCACACAAGGCAAACACCGCCTAGGAAACTGAGGCCAGAGAAGCATCAATCCCGGTTGACATTAGCGAACGAACTGAAGCTTGGCAGCGAGGCGCGGTAGGTCCGGGGTTCCCCCCTCCCCCTCCCGGGGCGGGGAGGTCTGCGCGGACGATTGGCGCGGCAGTAAAGTGTGATGTTTGCTTGTTTGCTAGTTTCCTTGGGATTGTAGGGAGTTTTCTACCTCTCTGTTCGGTTTTTGTTGTAGTTTCTTACCATGTGGGGTTTGTTTTGTTTCGCCTACCTTTCTGGGTGCCTAACCCCGGTCGATGGCAGATAAGGAAAACCCCCAACCATATGGGGTTTTCCAGGGCCATTGCTCCCTGAAACCTCTCTGAAGGGGCCAGGTTCTGGAGCTGGTCCCTGGTAGGTCTGAACTCCTTAGCTAATGTCCCGGTCTAACATAACATACATTAGCCCGATAAGCTCCAGGGAGCCGTAGGGGCTCCCCACAGAAAAGGGATAATCTCACATCCATAATTCTAGCAAAACCAAAGGATGGAGACGATATCAACGGTCCACTCCATGGAGATCGGAAGGAACTGGTACAGACTACTCCAAGAATGTTGGACACACCCTAGACATGAATAGTGCAGAATCAAACCCTGAGAACTCAGCAGAAGAGCTACTTAAAGCATCCAGCTCAAAAGGGCAGAGGGACCAAAATGAACCCCCCCCCTCCCAAATGAGGCAAATAAACAATGAAGGAACAGCCTGAATAAAGTCGCAGCCCGAGGAATCTGAGACCTCCACACCACATGCCACATGACCACAAACTCCTGAACTGTACTGTGAGCCTGATGATAGGGAAGAGACCAACGAGCCTGGCTGGCTTGGTAAGCACTGCTCACAAAGCCCCAAGGCATCAGTGAAGATGTCGAGCATGGATGGAGGAAAGTAGCAGGGAACTGAACCCCAAAAAGTCTGAAAATGAAGGCAGCGACCTAGCAGTCACCAAAGGGTCAACGGGCCTGGCACCCAATGATTGCGGCGGCAGCAAAAGGGACTGAATTGGAGATACCAGAACAGCTGCCAAAGCCACACTTTGCCCAGAGGAAAACAATGCAGGCAAAGTTCAGGCTCCCACATAACTGCTCACGCCTGAACCGCTTTGGGCTTGAACCCAAAAAGACCCAAGAAAAAAGGGCCTGCGTGAACCATGAGAAACCGATGCCTTCTGTAAAGAGTAAGCATGGCACCAACCAGACAGAGCGTACTAGCTAAGAAAAGCACTTGAAACCCAGAATTTGGCTCCACAAAAGGCATACCTCAACCCACAGCAGGCAATGCCCCAGAGAACACTGGAGGTCCAAAATAGGATAACAAGCATGCTCTGCCAAAGAAAGAAACACATGTAACCTACTCAGAAATAAGGTGAGGAGAAAAATGAGAGGTAGACAAGAGAGCAAGAGCCAATGCCAACTTCAAAGAATGGGCCAACACAGCGTGCTGACACATGAATCAGGCAACAAAGAATGTGGTGACTGCCTTCTGGAGAACAAGAGTGTGCATTGGTTGTGCTTGGGAAGCACAACCTCCTACGGTGGGGGGAAGGGGTAGCGCTACCGAGCGAAAGTGCTAGTCGCACGAAGGGTTGCTTGTTTGGTTTCTTTCTAGGGGGAATTGTTTTGATCTTTCGGGATGTAGATTGCACAGATTAACCAGTCAGTGGTGGTTTGATTTCCCTACCTTTCTGGGTCCTTCCCCGGTCGATTGCAATTATGAAATACAGTGGCACCTCGACTTATGACTGCCCCTACTTACGAATTTTTCAAGTTACTACTTAAATTTCGTCAGAAAATGCGACTCTACTTTATTTATTCATTAACAAGCACACTCTCTTTCCTTCTACTGTTCCACTAATTCGATTTCACTCCTACACTCTAAATTACTTAATTCCCTTATCATTCATCTTTGTCTTGCATATACTCAACATACCACATTATGCATATTTACTGTACTTTATTTAAATATCTATTACATCAAAATATTTTTTGTGTTGGCACAGCAAGCAGCATGGAGGATATAGAACAGTTTATTAAACTCCTTAAAATCAAACTGATAATAACCTGGGCCTGTTGATTCATTTCTGCTTTCAGCGAGTCGAAGTGGTCTCCATTACCCTTGTCATCGTACTCTGCATCAAACATCTCTTTCAGGCGTCTCTTCTTTTCTAAAAGCTTTTCTCTTGCTGACATTTCTTTCTTGGCTTCTGGGAGATTATCTGCATCTGCAAGATCATATGTTGGTGAGAAATAACAAGTATAAAAATTTGTATTTATTAGTTACTGTATTATACACACATTAACACACACACAATTTAGAATTGTTTAAAAAACCAGTGTTGATTGTAATGAAACTACATTTTCTGGGCGAGACCCGGAGACTCCCCAGAGCTATCCGGCTGATACGGATGTATAAGCTTTGGGCATCAGTCAATGTACATGGAGTTCTATGCCTACCCGGGACCACGAGCCAGAACCTGGCCCTCCTCAGAGAGGCGCGAGGACCAATGGCCTATACACACACTATAAATATATGGTTTAGAAGTACTCTATGTCAGCCATCGACCGGGTCGGGCACCCAGAAAGATAGGTGCCCCAAAACCCCCCACACCCCATTCTGGTGAAGAAATGCTACCAACCGCTGAACGAGAGGATAGAACTCTCCATGAAGAAAAATGAGCATGACATCATCTCATTAGCAACGCGATGGTGTCGCGTTGCGCCGCCGTCTGAACAACCTGCCCCCCCCCAAGAGGGAAAAGGGGAAGCCCCCCCCCCCGCCAGCTACCCGAGCCTGCCAGTTCTTAAGCTAGATGTCAAAAACACGTGAAAAGAACTGCCAACCGAAAGGAGGGAGGGATGCCAGGGAGCCTCCAGGCCTCACCCAGAAAATGGTGTTTCATTACATTCAATGCTGGTTTTCTGGGATAAAGCCCCTTCGGCTCCCCAGAGCTAACTACCCGAAGACAAGGATAAAAGAGGGACAAATCCAGGAGGCGGAAACCACACGCCCAAAACCCAAAAGCAAGACAACTGGCAACACCAAATTACCTCATGGACGACCCACCCGGGAGACCTAAACCCCAGACAGGGACGAAGGGAACCCGGGCAACGCAAAGTGTGTCCTGTTGGAAATTTCCAACCCCCAAATACTAATCCTTAGTTCAGTAATAATATTTTCATAAATCAAATTACATTCAATCTAACCTTGTATTATTTATTATGGAATATCGATTGGTAATAGATTTATATTTATTTAACAAATTACATAGCTGTTTATTGGAAATAATTTTATACTGCTGCGATCAGCTGTTCCAGTAAATACAGCGATGAACTGAATTTCCACTATGAATATTTCTTGTCCATCTAACATCATTTAGATTAAATGATTTGCCCAGCGAGAAACAATCTGCTGTTATATAAAGCACTTTATTATGACAAATTAACGTCAGTAATGTTTCCATCCATTCGGAAATTAGAATTAAGTATAGCAAATAATTTCCCAAATTTCTAACAATTGGTGCTAGGTGGAGCACACATCACTCACTAGCAAGGAGACTTGGCAGAGTTAGACGCCATATTTGAGGGAGTGTCCTGGAGCCTGTCTGGCTATCGTCTCATATTTCGAACATCCATGCATTACCGGACTACAAGTAGACGCGACGGCTTCATCTTATCCCAGATACCACATCCGGCAAGGCTAAGTTATCCCTTTTTATATAGTTGTGGCCTCAATTTATATATTATGTAGGATGCCTTATCGTCAGGACACACAACCATCAAAATAACCTTGCGAGTATCATTATTTTATTCTATCAGCACTAAATTTATGAATACGTGTAGGAATATGCACTCATAGATGGAAATTACACATGAGTCCTATTTCACCATGGAGTTTGCTGCAAGGAAATAGTAAGTCAGGCTGTACAATCACAAGTCGCCAGAGATAACCGACTCAGATAGGACTAAATTGGTTATAGCTGCTAGACGCCATCTACGTTCAACTTTGGCAGGCTAAGCCGTTAACCGTTTCCATTTGTAGTTAACATATTAACCCAAGTCTTATTATTTCTAATGATTTATGCATATGTTATTTCCATATAATCTGTAGACTAACATTATAGAATTTACCCCCCCCACAAAAAAAAAAGATGTGTATGGGAATCACTTCACTTTAAACCAAAGTTTTACAGTTCACTTCTCTAAACTCATTATACATTAATTATTAAATTTATAATTATATTATATATAGGGGTTTGTTTTGGGACACTTACCTTTCTGGGTGCCTGACCCGGTCAGTGGCCGACATAGAATGCTTCCAACCACACGGGGGTTTCTATAGGCCATTGCTCCCCTTGCCTCTCTGAGGGGGCCAGATTCTGGCTCGTGGTCCCAGGTAGGCCCATAGAACTCCATACACATGACTGATGCCAAAGTCTGACATTATCATATCAGCCTGGATAAGCTCCTGGGAGCCAAAGGAGCTCCCCCCCAGAAAACTTGGTGACAGTAATGAAAATGAGATCAAAGATAAATAAGAGTTGTGAGGGTTTATATGAAAGCAAACATACTTTGCACTGATTTCGGGGATCAACATCCCTGTGGCCCGGCCTCTGACCAGGCCTCTAACATGGAAACAATAATCAAAAAGCATTCAAATGCAACCTCCATTTGAGGGTGTTATTGTAATAACCATCTGACAAGAATAATCGCAGTATAAAGGAAAATATGGGGCTTTAAGTCGGATCTGTATAACCTTTCCAAATGTATGAAACTGTATGCATGAAACAAATGTATGAGATTTGTTGAGGGCAGCAACATTATGATATTAAAAACAAACATGTGTGTCTAAATAAAGCTCCATTTACAAAACTTTTAGCTAAATAAAGTCTAAATAACTTGCCTTCATTAACTTTACCACCATCCTCCTCATCATCATCATTTTCTGATGCAGCAAACTTCTTTCCTGTCTCCAGGTCTTCGAAGTCTCCATAAAGGTCTTCATCGTCCATCTTCAGGAGTGTTTCAGCATCTTTATCATCGCTCCATTGTCCAGTTACAAAGCAATTACGAATACTGTTCTGCAGCTGGATTAATATAAATATTTACTTATCAATATGACATTTACCATTGAATCTGAGAAACCCCACTTAAATTACAAACAAAACCAATGTTAAAGATAATGAAATGCCTGTGGGAACCGACCTGTGAGATTTATATTTATTTATTTAATTTATATGAATTTATAGGAGCTGAATTTGCTCCAACGACTCGGTCTTAACAAACAATGGCTGACCTCTCCACTCCTCCTCCTGACGCCTTGGCTCTCCTTGTCCAATGTCAATAAGCGATAAAAGGGTCACATTTACTCTATTTTGATACTGATAATTAAGTTAATTCAAATAAGATGTTTTATGATGTAATAAGTCCAAAGACTACTGTATTTAAGAATAATTCCCAACAGAATAGCTGGTGAATTTATAGTACTATGTGGCAATGATATCCCATTTTCTATTGACAGAAAATTCCACTACAAGCTACATTTTCTATGGGTTAACTTGTGTATACAACACAGCAGCAAAATTATCTGCCTATTGTATGTAATATTATAAAATGGTGTCGGGTTTTCCGACAATGCCTTCTTTCTGGTGAGTCATCTGTGGCTCATTGGAGCTTGCTTCCTGGCAAGCTCCACACAATTTAATCTACACCATGCTCTTGCAGGATTGCAAGCCTACCAAGAACCAAGAGCAAAATCCTTATCCCCACTAACCAAGAAAAGGCCATCAGAAATGTGAAGAAACCAAAATACATAAACAGCAAGGTAAATAATACATAGAAAAAGAAAAATTGAAGCCCTGAGAAAAACATATCAGCCATTTGTGAAGTTGCTCCCTAGTTAGTTCCACCTGTGCACCACCAGGGGAATGTGAACCTTCCTCCTCAGTCTCCTAGTTTTGAACCTCAGTCATTCAGTCAGGAAGACAGAAAAAACTGTTGCCTCTGGACAGGGAGGTTATTTTTGCAAAAATTCATCAGTGTGTGCCTTGTCAAACCTAAACCTATGTTGAATGCTGGGGAACTTGTGACAATGCCTCTGGGAATGTCAGTTTTCTGTGAGTTGTAGAGTCGAGGCGAGACAGAAACAGCAGTGTAAAATGTTGAAAAATAGTCAGAACTCTTGCATTTGGAATTCCCGCCAGTATAATAGTCAGTTCTGCACATGCGTAGAGCATTGTCATAGCAGGAAAGCATCATCCCCAGAACAGTATAAACAACAAAGAAAATACATGTTTAATAAGTATATTCAGTGCTGGAAAATATATAGAAACAACAGCGTTAAATGTTGAAAATCAGCTTGGAACTTTATAAGACATATAAATGAACTATTGGGAGATACAAATGTGTATGAAACATTATTGAAACAGGGCGGTTAGACACAGATGTGGTAGCCGTCTCGTTCACTTGGTTTTGGGCAGGGTTGGAGAACAGTCCGGGCGTCGCTTGTGTGATGTGTGGCAGTCTCCTACAATGACGACAACTGCATTTGTATCTCATACGTGCTATAGTGGTGCTCAGTCCCTGTGTTAGTTAGGAATAGGCAGTTTTAAAACTAAGGTTATTTAGGGAACCCTGTATGTAGGTGGTGCTTTGTGTAGCTTTGATTCATTCACTCAGCTTTCTGTAACAGGTGGTCTTACCACATTAACTTTGTTCCCCCATTTGTAAAGTTTTGAAGTGTCAGAACCTTGTTTTGCTAAAAACCATACCACCTTTGTAATTACCAAGGAAGGGGTAGAGTATTGTGGCAATCTTAAGTCCCAGTTGGTGTTGATCCTATAGTCTATTCACTCCTAATATTTATGTTTGCCGAGACGTATACCTCTGTATTTCAACAATCCTAATACGTAACAGTGTGCCCCATATTTAGTCAGTGTAAAATAATCCTGTGTTGTTCAATAAAATCACATTGTAAAATTATACACCAAGGCTTTTGTCGAATATATCTAGATATCCCTCCCACTGTTTATAAGAAAGTAAGAAAGGGTTTGTTAGTTGTACTCTAGGGGTACGGCTTCCAATCACATGCCTTACAAGGAATATTCAACACTGATAATCAACTGTGATGGCTCCAATGATATGCTTAATGTGGTAGCCTTCAGGGAAGGGCCACTTACTCTTCCACTGAGCGAAGTTGCAGCCCGAGCCTGGGGCTTTCGTGCATCACAAGTTCTACTCACAGTCATCCAGATTGAAGCCAAATGAGAAAACCTGGAAGCAGTAAGCCTGACATTCCACCACAAAACCTAGACAGTCCCTGAACTGGGGATGAGCAAGAATATGTCAATAGGTATCCCATAAGTCCAGAGACCCACATCCAGAATCTACATGCAACACCAGACAGATTTGAGATCAGATGGTTATGTGAAATGTTGGGCAAGGAATGAAGTGATTCAAACCCAAAATGCCAAAAATGTACCAGAGGACTGTAGAGTACCTCCTGAGGACTAAGAATAACCAAAACACCCACCTCAGAGCAAGAGTTAACATGACCACACCATCACCCAACCACTCCTGGCTGGCTGGGTGGATGGGGGCTGGCTGGCTGAGTGGACAGCACTCTAGACTCGTGGACCTAAGGACCTGGGTTCGATCCCAGCAGCCGGCGAAAAAACAAATGGGGCAGAGTTTCCTTCACCCTGATGCCCCTGTTACTTAGCAGTAAATAGGTACCTGGGAGTTAGACAGCTGCTATGGGCTGCTTCCTGGGGATGTGTGTGTGGAAAAAAAAAACTAGATTAAAATTAATGAGAGAAAGAGTGAATGAAGAGCATTACAGTAACAAGAGCTTGGCAAGATACATTACTTCCTCTATGCTCCAGTTTCTAAGAACTGGAGGGATGTAGCGGCTAGTGTCGTCATCATCATAGACAGCATGTGAAGCTGGTCCACCAGTACTGGATTTTGGTTTTGCAGGTCGCTTGAAGAGCCCACCAACTTCATCTTCATCTGAGTCTTTCTCATCTTCTTTCACTATTTGGGCAAGCATAATGAGATTATGTAAGAGATTAATGAAACATTAAGAATGTTTAAGGTTATTGTAATAACTATGGTACACTGTATGGGGGGGGACGGAGGGGAGTACCTAGCTGTGCCTAGGTCTCTCTTTCGTCCCTACTCCACTTCCCCTCTCTTCCAATTTCCCCTCTCTCATCCCTTTCTATATCCTCCCCATTTTCCCATCTCTCCTTCCCTCCCTAAGCATCCCCCCTCTCCTCCTTTCTCTTCAAACATCTCCCCCCCCCCTACCCTAGATGTTTGGTAGACGGTTGGAACAAGTTAAGTAAGAAGGTGGTGGAGGCCAAGACCGTCAGTAGTTTCAAAGCGTTATATGACAAAGAGTGCTGGGAAGACGGGACACCACGAGCGTAGCTCTCATCCTGTAACTACACTTAGGTAACTACCCCTCTCTGTATCTCTTAGAATGTAATACCCATTACTGTACTGAAGACCAAAGATCACATTCACTAAAAAAAAAAAAAAATCAACCACTTATGGGCTATTCATGCCCATGCCACCTCTTGGGTGGCTTAATCTTCATCAATTAATCAATCTACTACTGAATTCACATTTATAGTTGAGTAAACAATTCTGGGGATTATGCTAGCCATTTTTAACAGAACATTACAGTGATAAGGATCCTTGAGTTGATTTTGGGGCTTTAGTGTCCCTGGGGCTTGGTCCTCGACCAGGCCTCCACCCCCCAGGAAGCAGCCCGTGACAGCTGGCTAACTCCCAGGTACCTATTTACTGCTAGGTAACAGGGACATAGGGTGAAAGAAACTCTGCCCATCGTTTCTCGTCGGCGCCTGGGATCGAACCCGAGACCACAGGATCGCGTGTCCAGCGTGCTGTCCGCTCGGCCGGCTGGCCCCGATCAATCTACACTTCTTCACATGAACAGTGTAAAATAGGATCTACACAGGATCTTCACATGAACAGTGTAAAACTCATGACACCATATTTACACGCAGCTGGTCACCTGCATAATGCAAAGTCAACCCAAACCTTCTGACCGTAGATGCTCATATTGGAAGCCATCACGAAAGAAGGAAAAAGTGGTTTACCAAGTAAGGCTACTTCACACTGAGGACATCTGACAAATAATTGTCAGAAATCTGAACTGGCAAAACAATACAACAGGTTTATGCACGTTTATCATAACAAATAGAGGTCTGACTCAATGGTATGATATTACACCATCAACCATTACCAAATGGGGCCATTCAATGCCTGCACCAACTGGAATAATTAATGCTACGGAACCCTTTAATGGAGGCGATTATGGCTACTGTTGAATAGCACAATATTGTGATCTAAAGTTCTGTAAGAGTGGTGATGTGGCTAATTAAGATGTACATCACGATGATGCCTGGTCAATTGGAGAAGCATCAATGCAGATGATGAGGTATTTATTCAGTCATATAATTTTTTTTTATTTTTTTATTTAAATATAAAGACAATGACGTTATAAGTAAGCCAAATCAATTATTCCACCAAATTGACAGGAATGGAGACCAGTCTCCATGGAATTTATCATTCTGCTGACAGGAATGGAGCAGAGCTTAGAGCAAATTTAACATCCAACTGGTGTTTGACCCCATCCCCCTCTCTTTGATGACTGCTCTCCGCATAAAGAAAACCAATCTGCTCTTGTACAGTATCAGAAGTTTTGGCACCCTGTGAAAATGTACTTTCATCTGCAGCAGTCTATGCTTTATATGATGCTACCTTCTTCAACATATTTTGTGGCCATGGCTAGCTCAACACAGACTAGATATCAAAAACAAGTTTGGAAATGCTCATACTGTATTTGATCGGCTCAAAATTTGTATCACAGTAGAATCAAAATGGTAAGTGTATTATAAATGACACTGGCATTGACAGTATATATATAATTAAAAACGGGATCAGTGAGAGATTTATTGAGCATTCATGTCTCCAGATGGTGAAACTAATATAACCATGTATAGCATCTCGTCATGTGTTTACCTCGCGTTGGTTCTGGGGATCAATGATTCCATAGCCCAGTCTCTGACCAGGTCTCCTGGTTGGTGGTCTGGTCAACCAGAATATTAGATGCAGCTGCTCGCAATCAGAGGTATAAATCACACCTCGATTGATCAGGCATCCTTTCACAGTGTTCATCAAGTTCCACAGTGAGAGGTTGGCTAGTTATGCCCCCTTATATTTAGAGGAAGAGTGTTGATAAGTCTTGGGCCCATGATGTTGATAGGATTGTGTTTTAGCATGCTTACTGCATCTTAGCTTTTCAACAGGGCTATTTGCACATCCTGCTGTACCACCAGGTCTCATGAGTTACTTCCATATGCAGATTTAGAACCAGTCTGTCAAATCTCTCCTCTTGCCTGCATTCTAGAGAATATAGATTTAAGAACTTTAATTAAGCAGTCCCAATAATTTAGATTTTTTGTTATGGTGTATATAATAGCTAGATGTTTGACACAGTGAGTGTTCAAAGACTACCATCCAGATTTGTCGAATAGGTGCCAGGTATCCCTAAGTTCGGTGGTTCTTTTCTCGCCAATGTTTGAGCATCAAAATTTTATATTATGAAACATGGAAGCATTGTGTGTCAGTACTCTTTATTTTCATATTATTTGGAAATATTTTCATCCTCACTCCTTTCCGTGTCCAGAGACTAGACAGGACAGGCCACCTATGTTTAGTAATTAATTTCTGTGAAACCACTCATCATTAAGATCTGATATTAATATGCAAGGTAGCATGGTGTGTGCATGGCATGCATTGGTGGCATTTTCAATTGTATTGGTTGTTCAGAGACCAGAAATGGCAGTTTTAGATACCAAACTCTGGACAACCTTTATTACCAATAATGAACCTTTCTGTGTTTCTACCCATGTCATCCTACAGTTTAATGACAATGCATATGCCTGAAAACAAGTGAGAACAGATCAAATAAAATATAAGCCCTTCAATCTGACTATCAAAAAGGTTATAATATTTATTCTAGCATAAGACGTCTTTCATCTTTCAATATGCTTTTGAAGTACTGTACTGTATAAGCAAAAGGTTCTTGGCATTTTTGTGGTGTTCTTCAATGCATTGAAGATGCTGCAGATTTTTTCTCTGCACTAATGTCTAGAAACTGGTGACTTTACCTCAAGCATAACCGATTGGTACACAGAATAAAAAATGAAAATTTACGTCAGATGTGAAATCTTTTAAAAGTGTATATGAATGGTAACAAACAAAGAAACTTGCAGCAAATAAATGGTATTAGGCTGTACAATAATAATAATAAGACATAAGAAAATACCTACCTTCACCATATATATATTTTCTTAAATAAGACACTGTACTTTGATTCTTGTAAAAATTCTCTGTTGCTTGTTTGAACATTTCACTACGGTACTCGAGTTTGTCATTCTCTTCTTCCATGTCAGAGTCATCTTCATCACTATCACTTACTTCCTGCTTCTTAACTAAATTGACATTATCTTGGGATTCTTCATCACTATTATCTGTTGCATTATCACTATCATTTTCCTCATTACTAAAACCACTATCATCACCTACAGTTTTTGTTTTTGAACTGGATTTGCTCAGCTTTTCTAAAAGTCCTTGGATTTTTTCAGTCACATTAAAATCTTTGTTATTTTTTATACAAGGAGTTTGCTTTTTTGATAATACACTAGAATTCAGTGCCAACTGTGATCCACCTTGACCTCTTAAGCTGTCATCAACATTCTGTAAGCCACAAACATTTTGCAAGTCTGCATCCAAATCATAATCATCAGAATCACTATCTGGGCTTGGTTTTCTGTTCCTTTTCTCATAAAATGAATCATTCTGGAAAAGAAATTGAAAATTAAAGTTAGGTATGATTTAAAGTTATAATCTAGTATTTATTTTCCATTATGTATGGTTACTGCACAAGTATGCCAAAGAGTAAATGGCAAAATTGCTAAATTTTGGCCTTAACTAATGAAATTTAATGAAGATTTATTTTTTATTTACTCCACTGGCTGTTTGTAGAGTACATCTTACACAGTGCAAGCTGGAAGAGAAATGATATGTTACCTTTTTTGTCCAGAAAAGAACTTACTAGTTTTCTGTTCCCATTAAATAATATCTGAGCTGTTTAAATTCTACAAGGTGGCTTCCCATTTATCTGTCAACAGCTTTTATTTCAAAATATTAAACGACATATCTGAGCACTGGGTGTAATGAAAACACCACTTTCTGGGCAGCACCTCAATAAATAGCGCCACAGAGCTATTGAGGCGATATACTCTTATACAATACACACAGCTATGCAGAGAACGGAACATTCAACATACTGTACTGACCCTGCCATCACACAAACAGGAGATTGAAAAGATACAATGGGCCTGTAAGCGAGGTGCTTCACGTTCAGCTTCCCCTTATGCCCTTCACTTCATCCTCGGGTAAAAATCATGCAGCAAGAAACTTTGTGATCATTCAAATTCTGCCGTTGATAATGTTAACGATTTAACGAAACACCTCTCTTAGCGTCAGGCCAAATAAAATTGTAAAAATTAACTTTGGAGTTCATTTTTAAACTTCCCTCTTAAGTTAAGAAAAGTGCAAGGAAAATTAAGAAGATTCATGCTAGAATCATTGATCTCACCCTTTCGGTCACTAATAATTCAATAATATATGTTTATAGGAAAGACTGCTACAAAATATTCCTAATACTGTACAAGTACAAGTAAATGATCTAAAAGAGGAAGTAAGCACATTCTTATTGATGTTTGCTGACAACACTAAGCCAATGAGGTGAATCAGAACTGAAGTTTCATGCAGTACAGGATGAAGGGAAAGCAACTTCCAAGTTCTGAAAAAGAGAAAGATTTAGGAGTGAACATCTTGAGATGATTTCGGGGCTTTAGTGTCCCCGCGGCCCGGTCCTCGACCAGGCCTCCACCCCAGGAAGCAGCCCGTGACAGCTGACTAACTCCCAGGTACCTATTTACTGCTAGGTAACAGGGGCATTCAGGGTGAAAGAAACTTTGCCCATTTGTTTCTGCCTCGTGCGGGAATCGAACCCGTGCCACAGAATTACGAGTCCTGCGCGCTATCCACCAGGCTACGAGGCCCCTGCTCAAGATAGCTCAACATATCTCATATGCTCATATCTTGAACATAGCTCAAGATTTATCACCAGAGGCACACATCGGCAGAAAAATGAGGGCAGCATATACCATACTGGCAAATGTCCGGTTATCTTTCAGGAAGTTTCACCAATATCCTTTCTAAATACTCTATACAATCTGTGTGAAACCTATTATTGAGTATGCTGCCCCCAGCATGGAACCCCTACCTAAAGAAGCAGAAAGTAAAAATGGAAAAAGTCCAACAATATGCAACAAGGCTTGTTCCTGAGCTAAGGGAATTGAACTATGAAGAAAGACTGAAGGAACTGGACCTCACTACACTGGAGGATGAGAGGAATAGGGCAGACATAAAAGTGATGTACAAGATACTCAGCGGAGATGGCAGAATAAATATAGAAGTGATGTTCAAATTAAGGAACAGTAGAATGAGAGGACGTAACTGGAAGCTAGAAATGCAGGTGAACCACAGGGATGACAAAGAACAGTCCCCAGAAAGGACTTTGGACACAAGTCATAAATAAGTGAAATGGACTAAATGAAAAAGTTGTCGAAACCAATTTGATATACAACTTTATATGAAAATATGATAAGATAAACAAGTGAAAAGTCACTGCACTGAACTAATAATGGTTGAAAGGCGGGACTTAAGAGCAGATGCTTGACCTTGCAAGCTCAACTAGACGAGTACAACTAGGTGAGTACACACATAATTAAACACAACAGCACTGGGACTATTGTTAATTTACTTACGGATATTTTCCATTCCATGTAAATACCTTCTATCAAGAGGGTGAAGTAACACTAAATCAATTAATATTTCCATTTTATTTCCTCAATGTTTTTTCAACAATGTAACATCTTCAGGAATATATACTCTGGCACTAGACCACAGGTAGTCTAATTTTAAATACAAACACATTTGGATCTTTGGACACAAATATTTTAATGTTTAACCCTTAGATAGCAGTTATTGTCAATTGTTGATTTACAGGTAATGCGGTTATCATCATATGACGGTTTAAAAAATTACTGTCTGGTATTTACATGTATGATACAAATCTGGATATAAAAGGTCTATGTGGATGTAATGGAGTTTACTCTGATCCATAAAATAAATCCTACTACAACTTCATGGTACAAATGTGGTTATCATCATGAATGTTACTAAGGGAATGTGGACATCATCATGTAATGATTTAAACAATTATTGTCTGGGTTTTACATGTATGATGCAAATATGGATATAAAAACTCTCTGTGGATGTAAATAAAGAAAAACAATCAGTGAAACATCATAGGATAAAACAGGAAGTGTCAGCATAATCAAGCACTAGGCATTGACAAGTGCCAGACTCAGCCATGCTGAGTGCCTCTACCCAGTGAAATGATAATTATTTAACTTTCCATATTTTCAAGTTTTTCTTACGTTCTACACACACATGAATAATTCTATCATGAAAAAATTTATATTTTTTTGTATTTTTTGTGTGCATAGGCAAATATGACCATTTCTCCATAGCCGATGTCTAAGGGTTAATGGGGAATCTAAATCCATTCCCCTAACTGGTATGTATACAGTTAAACATCCATACATACATACATACCTAAGTTTTATATGGATGGTGAAATACTAAAGACACTGTTCATGACTTTTTTTGAGACCAAAATTGAAATATACAGCAGATGTATGGTGCCCAAATCTCAAGAAGCACATAAACAAACTGGAAAAAGTGCAATGGCATGCTACAAAATGGCTTCCAGAACTAAAAAACAAAAGTTATGAGGAGAGACTGGAGGCATTAAACATGCCAAAACTAGAAGATAGAAGAAAAAGAGGAGATATGATCACTTACAAAATATTAACAGGAATCGACCAAATTGACAGAGAAATTCCTGAAACCAGCAACTTCACGAACAAGAGGACACAGCTAAGGAAACAAAGGTGCTGAAAAAATATTAGAAAGTTTTCGTTTGCAAACAGTGGTAGACGGTTGGAACAAACTAAGTGAGAAAGTGGTGGAGGCCAAAACCATCAGTAGTTTCAAAGCGTTATATGACAATGAGTACTGGGAAATCGGGACACCACGAGCATAGCTCTCATCCTGCTTGATGGCTCAAAATACCATCAGGATTTGAATGTAATGCAATTACACTTGCTTGATGGGGTTCTGGGAGTTCTTTTACTCCCTAAGCCTGGCCCGGGGCCAGGCTTGACTTGGTAGAGCTTGGTCCAACAGGCTGTAGCTTGGAGTGGCCCGCAGGCCCACATATTCACAAGCAACCCGTTCTCGCACAAGACAGCACATATAGTTAGTATTAGTATGTAACATATGCACTTATTCATATGCCAAATATTGACTATAAACAAGTGCGAGAACGGGTTGCCACAACAGCCCGGTTGGTCTGGCACTTCTTGAAGAAAACTATCTAGTTTTCTCTTGAAGATGTCCACGGTTGTTCTGGCAATATTTCTTATACTCACTGGGAGGATGTTGAACAACTGTGAACCTCTGATGTTTATACAGTGTTCTCTGATTGGGCTTATGGCACCCCTGCTCTTCATTGGTTCTATTCTGCATTTTCTTCCATATCTTTCACTCCAGTAAGTTTTTTACTGTATAGATTTGGGACCTGGCCATCCAGTATTTTCCACATGTATATTATTTGATATCTCGCTCCTCTCCTTTCTAGCGAGTACATTTGGAGAGCTTTGAGACGATCCGAATAATTTAGGTGCTTTATCGCGTATTTGTTCTCTGAACAAATGAATGGCAAAAAAAAGATTTACAGTTGAATCCTGTAACTACACTTAGGTAATTACATACATACATACACACATTTGTACTTGTTTTTTTTGAAGGGCAAGAGTTACGAGTAGAGGTTAGAGGCATTAACCCTTTAACTGCGCAACGCGCCTGCAGGCCTAGGCTTCGGGTGCGTAACGCGCCTCCGGGTGTTTTTATTTTTCACGTTCCATTCAAAACTCCCGCGGCTACATGGGGTTCACATCAGCTTCCTCAGGGCTCTTGTAAACAGACGCCATCTTTAAAAAAAATCATGGTTCACATTGCCGGGTGTCAGAGCCTCAGTAGTGAGTGAGCAATCAAGGCTGGCACTTGCAGCATGAGCGCACAGCACTGCTGTTCAGCGTGTGACCACAGCATTGCCTAATATTGTCAAAATATATATATAATCTGTTTTATTTAGCCATGATAGTATTATAGAAGAGCCCGAGTGTGATAATGACTGGGTACAATGTTCAAATATCAGTGATTCAATGCTGTTCACGATGTTCACAGAGCTAGCCACAGCACCACAGCATTATTTCGTCCATCTAGGAATCTTCAAACAACTTTTTAGGTTCCTTTTAAAAATAAACTTGTGGTCAATTATTCATTTACAGGTATTAGTGACCAGGATTGTGGTTATAATTAGCGTTGTGTGTAGGAAGGAGGAATTTTGGTGAGGGAGGGAGGAAGGGAGAGAATTGAGGTAGCCTCACTGTGTGGCAGTAACTCTTGTTTTGCTCACCATACTAGCTTCGTGGTTCGCTATAGGGAACACACATGTACATGGGTACATACAGTGTGTGTGAATAGTGTAATAACAGCACCAGGAGTATGTTGTGAGGAGCTATTTTGGTGAGGGAGGTGACATCGTAATCGTGGCGTCGTCTGCTGTCTGCTGTGTGATTTGTCATGCAGTGTATGGTGGCCACTGTACTGTTTGGACACAATACCGGCTTACTTGCATAGTTCTGGTAAATAAAACATGTAGATAGGTATATATAACATGTGTAAATAGTGTAATAAATACAATAACAGTATGGTGGGAGGAGCAATGTTGGTGAGTAAGATGTTGGAGTGAAGGAGGGCTGGCTGGGTGTGGCTGCTCACTCTAGCGGTGTTCTGAGTGTGTTGATGGTGAATGTATATAGTGTGTGACAATGTATAGTGTGTACATATGTTGTAAATATACATAAATGAACATGAAACATTGGTGTGAATAACTGTATGATTTGGAGGAGCAATGTTGGTGAATACAATGTTGGAGGAGTGAGGGAGGGCTGGCTGAGTGTGGCTGCTCACACTCGCGGTGTTCTGAATGTGTTGATGGTGAATGTATAGTGTGTACATATGTTGTAAATATACATAAATGAGCATGAAACATTGGTGTGAATAACTGTATGATTTGGAGGAGTATTGTTGGTGAATACAATGTTGGAGGAGTGAGGGAGACTAGCTGGGTGTGACAGCTCACACTCGCGGTGTTCTGAATGTGTTGATGGTGAATGTATATAGTGTGTGACAGTGTATAGTCTGTAAATAGATTGTATATATACATAAATTAGCATGATACATGGTAAATATGTGCAACCTATGTTGTTACGTGCATGACAAGTGTCATGCACGTAACACAGTGTCCTCAGACAGTATGGATGTTTTACTGCCATAATATAGTGTACGTGTTCATTATACATAGGATTAGCACATAAAAACATATAAAATGTATTTGGAACTGTGCGCAAAAAATTAACAAAAATATATTCGCGGCAACTCGTGCGCCCCGCCCCGGGAGCTTACGGCACGGGCGAATGGGGAATGATGACGTCACGCGCCAGCTTATGGACCCCATAGCAGCCAAAGTACGTACAAGTTCGAAATTTGTTTGACATTTTGAGGAATTTTTTCAAGAGAATTTATTTCCTGCGCACTGGGGGGGATTGTCATATTTATAGGCTGCGCAGTTAAAGGGTTAAATATGCCAAAACTAGAAGACAAAAGAAAAAGAGGTCTGGAACTTCAAGAACAAGAGGTCATAAATATAAACTAGCTAAACACAGATGCCGAAAAATTACAAGAAAATTCACTTTTGCAGAGTGGTAGACGGTTGAAACAAGTTAGGTGAGAAGGTGGTGGAGGCCGAGACCGCCAGTAGTTTCAAAGCGTTATATGACAAAGAGTGTTGGGAAGATGGGACACCACGAGCGTAGCTCTCATCCTGTAACTACACTCAGGTAATTACACTTAGGTAATTACATACATACATACACATACATACATATATACATACATACATATATATATGTAATTGTTTTTAATTCTTGAAGATTTCAGAAAATAATGAAACAAGTACTAACCTTAATTTTTTTTCTAAGGGGAGCCATTTCATGGTCTTCCACTTCATCGTCTTCTGATTCAAGTTCCTCATCATCACTGCCAGATTCCTCGCCATATTCCTCATCCTCTAAGTTATCAGTGAAAATGGCCCGTCGTCTAACCCTGCCAGTGCTGTCGGTCACAGTTTCATATGGTGGCAGCCCATTCCCTGACTCTCTGTGGTAAATTTTAAACGTGTTTATATGGAAAGTATTCTACATCACAAATTTAGATTGATTAAAAAAGGTAAATATTTGATCACAGAAACCCACTTTGGGTTTCAGGGGGATACTTTAATGTACAACATAAAGCAGAATAAATGTTTGCCTGGGCAGGTATCCAGTGGCGGCTGGGTGAATCATGTCTGTTGTGTTGACCCCACGGCACTGGGAATTTGTTTTCCCTGAGGGTTCCTAATTTCCTTAAGCAGTTGCTTGTCTTATTGCATTTAAACTTTCTTGTGGGTTATTACTCAGCTTTCGATTGACCTTTAATCCCTAAGCTCTCTTCAGCTCATAGAAAGCCAGGCTCCAGGTAGGATTCTAGAGGATCTCAAAAGGCCTAGTGCAGTTTCTTAATGCTTTACAGCAGTACAGTGTTTTAGCTACAGGAAGCTGCCAAGTGGCAGCTTCTGAAGGTTAGTATATTAAAATAATAATGAATCTTTTTTCTTTAATTTAATTCCAAGTACTGACCCCTCTACAATATCATTTTTGGAGTTCCATGTACAAAAGTTCCTCCTTAGTGTACAGAAGTACTCTTTAATCTGATCTGCTCTTTGTTGGTCACAAATCCTTGCCGTTTTGAATTTAGCCCTGGAAAACTAGTGCATAGGCTCTGGAAAGCAACCAAGGGGGAGGGCCACCCATGGTAACAAAAGTTGACCATAGACAGGTTAAGAACATGGGTGGAGTCAACACTGCTATTATTAAGTCCCACTCCTCTCCAAGAGATAGCAGAGTCAGCCCAAAACCCAGATAATTTTACCACATCTATATGCTGGAGGTGATGCAAATATTGCACATCAACCATAATAAAAAAAAAAATGAGTGAGAGAGAGAAAGATGTTCATTATTGTGTACTGGTATTTGTAGGACACTCTTTGGCAACCATCCAAGTCTGTATGTGCAATGAGAACTAAAGATAGTACCAGACAGCCGAGACTGCATAGTAAAACCATTTATCATGCTGAATTAGAAAATTACCCATGGAGTATCTCAACAGACATCCAGTGACATTGGACTTCATAAACTTACATAATTCTTTCCTCACTGTCCCCATCATTTTCATCATCTTCCTCTAAAACGTCACTTGAAATAAATTGTGATCGTGAAAATAGCTGAATTTGACTCTGAGCTTGCTTTTCATCTGCCGTTTTCTGGAGATCCAACAGCGGCTGAAGAACATTATCTCCCTCTTCTTCACTGTCTTCATCCTTCATCTAAATAAAAACAGAAACCATTAAACAGTGCTCATTTGTTTACCCTTTTTAAAACATATTTAGTTACTATGATTTCAAAATCAGGGCACAAAAATAGTCTTTAGTACAATTAATTAAATTTAACTTTCTGGACAGAACTTCAGCAGCTTACCAAAACTTAATGAACTGACAATTTCAAGTTCACCTTCAACAGGCAGGTTTCCAAGACGTTTCCGTCCACTAGGAGCAAGAACTGGCATCTTTCTACGTTACATAAATGGGTGAGCATGTTATTGATGAACAATCAACCCACTACAAATGTGAATCACTCAAAATGTCACAAAACAATTCCCATCTCTGAGCCAAGACTGGTAAATTCATGCAATCCACCCAATCAATGGAACAGGTTAATTACCCCCAATCCTAATCCCATCGACTACCATCAGGTGGCAGCCCATATAGCTGCATCTTTGACTCTTCAGATGCTGCAGCTTTCATCCACTCTCCATGCAGAAAGCTAGCTCCCCATTGGGAACATCATTAACTCTGTAAAATAAGCCATAGCCTATGAGGGGCCACCTAAAATCCAAAAAAAAAAACACTGGTGATGTGAAGAGAAAGTGGGGGGCCAAAGCTGCCACTACAAAGGCAGAGGCCAACTACTGGCACCAGATGGCACAGACTTAGCCAACCTCCCATTCCCCACATAAAGCAGACGGCAGCAGTGCATCAAGAGGCAGAAAGAAAGCAGCCACTGCATGTAAACCAGTCAAGTTATAGAAATGGATGGGAAAGCTAAAACAACCCAAACAAGAACAAACAAGGTAAAATGAGAGAGGTGTTAGTACCTAGAGGAGGACCCCTCAAGCACATTTGATTGGTGGGGCAGGGATAATGCAGGTCAACTACCAAGGTAGTTGGTGCTACCCCTGGCCCACAGTCAGAGCAAAATACAAAGCTAGGGCAATCACAATGTGAGTGGCACAAAACACAATCATGAGGATGGGCCCCATCAGAGGTTTCATGTCTTTGATATTGACCAGAGAAGTGAATTAGGGTGCAGGCCTGACTAGAGCCTCAAGTGACTTGGGCTGCCACCTAATAACAGTAAAGCCTATCCCAGTTAGGGCATTTACTTTGTGACAATTGTTTGCCTCATTACCTTTAGGCACCTAATTTTCTCCAAGCAATTGCTTGTTTCATTGTGTTTATACTTTTGCGATAGGGCTTTTCTCAGGTCTGAGTTAATCTGATCCCAGAAAATTTCTTATAAAGATTACAAAAAAATATTATGCAGATTGCTGGAAAAATACAAAATCCCATTTGCCATACTTTGAGTGTGGCAAGGGGCATTCAAAATTTAACAAAACTAGCATTGTACAAACTCAGCTTCACCCCATATAGTTTATTAATTTATTTCTTTTTTTTCCAAGTGGGAGTCTGGCAGAACACACAGTTTGCCTCTTAGAATAGTATAATTTGTTTTTATAATATTGTAAAGTCCTATTTTCTACTACTTGAAGCACCTATATCATAATATTCTTACTTTGAGAAAAGCTGCAGGAGCCTCGAGGAGAACCACTATGCATGGGAGTACAGAGAGCACAAGTCCGAACCCTCCTCACAGATCCTACACATTTTCTCATTGATACCTCACATTAATGTGATTTTTTTGTGCATTGTTACTATTTTATTAGAGCAATTTTGTGTACTTATATTTTGAATCTATATATCTTATATCTTATCTATATATATCTATCGTGAACTTATGTCTAACTCAATGTTTATAGATGTTTTCTTGATTTAGTTTTTAATAGATACATTACAGTTAAAATACAAATTACACAGTACTGGGTTTAAAATACAAATTACACAGTACTGGGTTTAAAATACAAATTACACAGTACTGGGTTTAAAATACAAATTACACAGTACTGGGTTTAAAATACAAATTACACAGTACTGGGTTTAAAATACAAATTACACAGTACTGGGTTCTCAGGCCAATCACAATGTGTCCTAACAACTGGTAAATTAATGGGTGCAGATCTGCCTGTAGTAATTATGCCGTGTGCTCAATTATGATTGAGGATCATATGCAACAGCAATATTTTATAGCAACTACCCAAATAATTATATTAAAGCAAGTGTTTAGGATGTATACAAACAGAAAAATAATACGAATAAATGCAACAAATAAAAATAAATGCATACTTTTAATTTGTTTCCATGATGCGAGCCTCCGAGATCAATATACACGGCATCCTTATCATACACTACACCACCTACTCCTGACATTGGTGCATACGTCAGTCTCTCTTTGGAATTAAGTGATCTTTTCTTCAAGTGTTCAGGCAGTGGACATGGGTCAGGCAAGAAGCTAAGGTCCTTTATCTTGAAGTCTCCACAACCTAGGAAAGTCAAAAGTTTAAACTATCACGCAGATTACTACAAAACATATTATGCATAGAGTTCTCACAGTACATACAGAGACCACACAGCACAGTCAATATATATAAGAAAGGTAAAAACTGAAATGTGATTCGAGGAAGTTCTTGAACTAATAATCCTTGATTTTGACCAAATTTAATGTTTACATGTTTTTTAAGAATGTTCTGTATATTGTTAATAATTCTTTAAAAATATGATATATGTGGTTCAAAATATTATTATATTATAATGTGACTATTGGCAGAACATATGTACACTTCAATCATGATACCCTAACTCGACTCCTTTCTAGAGAATGCAAATTAAGATTTCTGAAGTTGTCTCTTCACATGGAAGATTTCTAGTTCCTGGGATTAGCATCGTTATTCGTCACTAAATGTGTTCAAGTGAATTTACGTGCATTCTATAATATTGCAATAAAAATAATCTAAATAGGGTCCAAACAAAACAAAAATACAACTGAAGAATACCCATTATTTTGCTAATACTTCTAGAAATAAATCCCAGTATCCTATTTGCCTCATTCTGAACATTTAGGCATAATGTACTTAAAATTACTCATGAACCCAGATATTTTTCACATTCAAATTTCACAATTTCAAAACTATCTAGTTGATATCTAGTAACTATCATTATTTAGTCTTAGAATCCTACATTTTTCATCATTAAACTCAATCTGTCAATCTTTTATTCATTTCAAAAGCCCATAAAGATAATTTTTATGTGATTTGGAGTCTTTCTTAACACTTTCGCGCTATCTGGACGCGCCAGCGCGTTCGGTTTCGTCTAACGTAAACGCATAGTGGACATAAAGTTATGTCTACTTTTAAAATATTTGTATAAAATTCAATTTTTATCCGATTTACTTTGGGTTTGTTTCAAACTGCGCGCTATGAGGCTCTCTTTCTCACCACTAGGCTGCATGGTACAATAAGTTCATGAAAGGTGTGGATAACTTCGATCAAATGGTATTTTGTCCCAAACGGGTTGCAGGTGGGTGACTTTAGCCGTTTATACTGGTAATTCTTCCCCCATATCATGTATTATATGCATATGTCTGTTTAGGGAATTTTATTCCGATCAATATACAACCAAAAATAACTGTGTGCAACAAGTATAATCTTGACAAACATAACAAAAGTAAAAATATTTTGTGTGTGTTTGACGCTCACTGATATGTTCCAGCGTTGTTTTATATTTGTCGCTATTCTAACTTACGGTTTGTTGATATTTTTTACCTATGGGCACATAGAACATTCTATTGCGAACACATTGACATAAAAATGAATGACGTACATAGAAAATTAATGTCATGAGAGTGAAATAAGTATAAACTTTCAAAGCGCCGTGCGTCGTCCCGTCACCGATACCGGGTAACAATTTCACCACTTCCCACACTCTTGCGGGCGGGCTGCATCATTATTATACGCTTATATTCATATCACCGTGTTGGGAATTTCATTGCGAGTCCATTGATACCAAAATTAACGCTGTAGAACAAGTGTGGAGGTGATTACAATCCCAAGAGTAAAAACATTTTGTTGCTGATGGGCGCTCACGGCGAGTCATCTACGTAGTTATTTATGTGGTGCTGGTATCCCTATATGTTTCGTGACTTATTTTACTAATGTTCTTCTAGAGAATTTTATTGCGAACACGTTGGTACCAAAATGAAATACGTAGCATGAGAACTAAGGTCAGAAGAGTAAAAAGAGTATACACATTTTTGTTTTTACGCTTAAGCGATAAAAACGCAGCGCGCACATTCGGTTGGCTGAGTGACCTTTGCGGAGAGCGCGAAAGTGTTAATTAATTTTTTGGACATTTTTTTTTTATCTGCAAAATTTAAAAATATTGCTACTCAATCTTGAATCTAAATCATTTATAAATATGATAACGAACAGAGGTACCAGAACAGAGCCCCTAAGGCACTCCATTTACAATGAATCACTGCTATCAGAGGAGCCAAGCTCTGAAACAGCATCTCAGCCAAAACAGAAGTCAATTGAAACTGAACACCTCATCCTAGAGGAATAACATGAACCCCGCAGAAGAAGAAAATGTTGCAACATAGGCAACCAGTGAGGCATAAAACCCAACTAAATACACAGGTCAGATGCCAATCACAGGAACAAGCTTGGAACCAGGTGGAGAAGACAGGCGACTTTACCATCTTGGACATACCATCCTTGCCTCCTAGCAAATCCTGCATAAAATACATTGGAGAAACAAACCTGGAGACTTCCAAGGAGTTGTTCCAAGGTAACAGCACTAACATCTATGCAATGATATTGCTGGAGGTAAATGTTTCAGCTGCCAGGATAAGGGAAGACAAGCCTGGAACAATGGCTATAGCAGACTTCTGCACCCATAACAAATAATTTATTAAGAGCCCCTTAAGAGATAATACCTCTGAAAATAGTACTGTATTGTTTATGAAATAATATGAATGAGGGATGCAACAACACTGAACAGACAACTGGACTAAACCCCCAAATGAAGCTTTAGGGTTTATTGCCCAATGCAATGGACGTGTAAGTGGCAAGCTAATCCCACCCTAATGCCACAGCAAGGGAAGGTATAGAGAGGCTTAACAATGAATACAGACAATGCCATAAGCTCAAGCTCAACAGCTAGGTACAGTATGGTGTGGTGATTGGTTTTCTCTAGCACCATCCATGAAAGATAACTAGGAAATCAAAGTTGAAGCAGACTAAGTAGCATACATGCTTGTAAAAACATCCTGAGCATGAGTACCGTGAGCATGAACCTTTATTGAAGGAAGGGTAGGCAATTGGGATGGAAGTCTGGTCTCAACTTGAATGGTGTTGAATGTAGCTAGTTAAGTACCTAATCAGGTAGTTCAGAGATTTGTTTGATGACTTATGTGCTTCCAAACATTACTCTAAAAGAGCTTGAGTATTCTGTGCCTTCTTTTCATTTTTGGTGGGTCATCCACATCAGTGGTGGGTGATCTCTGATCACCACTGCTTTCCCCATCCATTGGAAGGAATAAGACAAGATTTAAAAAGGTCCCTATACCTGGTGGATAGCAAGAAGTAATGGTAACCTCGTGTACCTTACCGAGTTTAACCCTAGCATGCCAGGGTTAAACTCAAGGAAATTACCAAAGGGGCCAGCCACCCCAGAAAAGAAACTTGACAAATTCAAAGGGGTTCCAACAAGCCTAATATGAATTAAGAGAACTAATCTTTGGGGACTGGTTATGAGAACTCAACCTTGCAAGCCTATAGGAAAGACAGCAAAGGTAACTTGTTCATAACATAAGATTCTGAGTGAAATAGACAAGGTGGACAAGGACCATTTTACAGTGAGAGAAAATAGGACAAGAGGATATCAGTGGAAGCAACGAATAGCAATGAATAGAATGTAAGGAAATACTCATGCTCAGTATACGTGGTCAACAAGTTGAAATACAGTACATTGAAGGAAATTGTGGATGCCATTTCATTCCACAAATCTGAAAGTAAATACACCATTTTCAAGGCAGGCCATGAAGAGCTAAACATCATTCACCATAGTAACTGATAGAGAAGAATTTTACAATAAATATTTTAGTAGTTTCCCCTGATTTTTGGCAACTACCAACATAATTTCTGCATTTACAAATAAACAATATTTGATTTACCTGGAATGTGGACCATCTGGGATTTCTGGAAGGGTACGCCACGCACATAACCATACAACACAACATCCCGGTCACACTTGGGATTAGTTCGGATGCTCTCAGGGTTGGTGATATCCTCATATCTATCAACTGGGGAAAAAATGCATTAATACCATACACTCATGAATTGCTAAACTAAAAAAATTTAATTAAATAAAAAATCTTCTAGTGCAATAATATTTTAACTCTAGGGCAGATAAACCAATTTTTCTGCCTCCCACCCCCCCCCCAAAAAAAAAGATTAAATGCATTTTTATTACATTATTTACCTCAAAAAATTATGTAGACATCTAAAGCAATATGATACATGTGACAGTGGCAATACAGATTCCGCAGTCAAAACAAAGTATAGAATCTGTATTCTAAAGTCTTCATCTCATAAAAACCATGTAAGAAATTCTAGACCTTCCAGCCGAGTTTGAAAACATTAGTTAAAAACTACTTTAATAGATACAAACCATAATGGCTACATATCAATATTTTGAAATTTTCAACATACTGTATTGAAAACCTGAGAAATATACATAATGCATATTTGCCAGTTAAATGTGTAATCTTGACAAACATTTTACAAACACAACTCAAGAATCTCAAGATAACCTCAAGATTTTAGCCCCAGTTACCTTCTTGTGATAAAAGAAACCTGTTTTTTAAGCATTAACAAAAAATTTTGCTAAACTGTATATAAACACTTAAACTCCTGGCAAATTGTAGTGATAAAGTTATCTAATTTAGTACGGATATTGGATATGCCAAGGATAAAATAAGGGGGGTGACAAACTGGATGACAGTAGTAAACCACAAGGACAGTGATTTTGAATATACAATGACTCAAAAATTTGTCTGCCGATAATAAATCTGAAAATAGACTTACCTACAACAAAGGGATGAGTGGTGCGCCATACCAAGGGACGAAACTTCATTACAGATATAAAGCGCCCCAGATTCTTTATTTCATTTTTCAGGTATTCCTCATGAATTAGACCTGGTAAAAAATAAAAAATTAAAAAATTAAAAAGTACTGTAAACCAAATTAGTGCCGTACTAAAAGTAAAATTTTATTCTGTAATAATCAGACTTTGAGTGTATGTACAATATAAAGATCCTTTTTGAACAGGACCCTTAGTTGCTTCTCAAGACATGATCCTACTAGTTATGGTTATATTCAGTCTGAGCATGTTGTCATTCTGTATCATCACAACAGAGATCTTTACAAATAACCGTAAGTATGGTCTATAGAAAGTTCACTAATATCTATGCAGTTTTGAATTTTTTTGGTCCCCTTTTTGACGAAACTTTAACTTGGGGGGTGAGGTTCACATTTTTTTTGTCTAAAAAGTATTTAATTTTCTTCTATTTAAGTTTAGAGCTTCTAAGCTTTTACTTAAAAAAGTACTTAAGTTTTTTTTTGGCATTGGACTCTGGGGGTCAGGTTGGCGAGCATCATGCTCTCCTCTGGCGCAGGGGTTTCTGCTCTTTCAGTCCTGGTGGTCGGTTTGTTCAGTTGCAGCTGTCTCCTCAGTGCCGTGTCCTGTTGCGGCTGTTCACTGTTATCTGCACACCTCGACCGCAGTGGCCAGGGATGTGCTTTGTGTTGATCCAGTTTCACTCGTTCCCTGTTCTAGGGCTCGTGTCTCCCAGGTCATCCGCAGGGTTAAGTCTAGCCAGCCTGCAGTCTATCCTTGTGCCCATGACATTCATAAGTTTCCTGATTTGGCTGACATTTGGGTGCGGGGATTTTGGAGGTCAAACAGGGTCCTGGCCGCCCGTTATTTGGTAAAACATTCCTGGTCCTGGGCTTTCGTGTGTGGCTTTAGGTCGCAGGTTGCAGTCAGTTGTCTTGACTTAGAGCTGAGAAGCACGTGGCGGCTGCCTCCCAGATAAGTCCCTCTTTTACTTATCTTGGATTATTAGTTCCAGGGAGCCATAGGGGCTCCCCACAGAAATGGCAAATGTATTATTTGATATTTTATTTAAATACTTGTTATATTTGAAGGCTCCAGAACCAAACAATAACCACAGTGCCAATTTTGTTTACAATTACTAATACAATTTACTGTACATTCAGATTTTATCATTAGAAGTGTTAATGTAAAAACATTACCTTCAGGAGGAAATGTTTGCTTATGACAGAGTAGGCAGGTGTGAATACTGTATGTGCTATACATGCTGAAAAATGAGGCCAAAGTTTCAACAGTAATTAAATTTCATAATATGAATGGCGCATGTAAATAAATGAGCAAAATAGCATTATCTTACCCGAGAGATAAAAAAGTTTGGCACCAGGATAGAGCTCTACCTGGAATCTGTGCTTAAGAGCTTTCTTCTTCTTTTTCAGAGCCTTGTTATCCTTCAACATGTCCAAATGATTTAAGATCTGTAAAAAAAAATAATATTTTTCAGATAAAATATTAGATGGTTAGATTAGCCATGGATAATCAGATAATCAAATTTCCACATAGAATTTGATAAGTGTTTCCTTTCGGTATTAATACTTAAAGATGAAGGGATAAAATGTTAAATTATTCAAACCATTCCTTTCCACTGTACGAGAGAACTGTATAATCAGCAAACATAAAATTTGACATTCTTCAATGTCTCATATTAGGCCTATACTGTACACTACTTTTGTACACTTTTCAAATATTCCTACTTTGATCACCATAAAGGAAGCAAAGCAAAACAGACAACTGCAAGGTTCACAGAAAGAAAACAATGCAGCAAGCGACTGCAAACAATCCACCGAGTTACTAAGCCATACACCCACCAAATAACTAACCACCTAACTAACCAGATGGCAGCACCACAGAAGCTGCCGACTCCCCGTCAGTAATCCTCACTCCTAAGGCCAAGGAAAACCAGCCAAAGCACCTGGTATGGAGGGAAGGGTCTAGGGTTCACTAGGAGCCACCCAGAAAGTCATTTTATTACATTTAATGCTAGTTTTCAGAAGGGGTCACACTGTGACTCCCTGCAGCTAACAACAGAAAAGAAAAAAACAGGACTAGTTGGGAAGAGGAGGAGCAAAGATCAGACCTCAAAAAGGAGCTGCAGAGGAGAAACAGACCCAAGAGCCATAGAACTGAAGGAGGGGGCCAAAGACCACCACTACCACAGGCTCAGGATAGACTATCCAGAAAAACCCAGGCAACTCATGGGCCAGGTGCTGGTTCCAAGAAACTGGCCCCAAAGAGAAATCTACCTCGACCAACAATAGGTGGAATCCTAGCCAAATTTAACTGGCCTTGGGGGGTTACAGAATGCCCACCGAGAAAGATCCCCAACTAGGGGCTGGAATGAGACAGCCACAGCTGAAAGAACAGAAAAGACAACTGCCTCAGAAAGATAAATGGAGAGAAACAACATTGGAGTCAAAGAAAAGTCTGCAACTACCTTCTGAAGAAGGCGAGCAAGCCACTTGGGCAAAGCCTTCAAAATCTGCATGTATATGAACAAATTAACACCAAGAGCTCCTAACTCATCTAGGAGTCTGAGAATCACGGACACAGGAACCTCTTACTGACACCAAGACATCGAGTCACACAGCTGAATACACACCCACCACACCCAAAAACTGTGAAACCCCACATCTGAAGAGTGAATAGATTGAATTAGCAGACTCTAGAAAAACCGAAAGAAAGAAAAAGCAGACTAAAAAAAACAATCCAGCAAGCTGGTCAGCACTGAGAGCAGCAAGGTAGCCTGCAATTATGACCCACAGGAACAGCGTGAACAGCCTAGGAAAAGCAGTTATGGCAGCAACAGCACACAATAAGGCAAAGAGTGAGGGATGCCCATAAAAGGGATCAAGACCCATTCAGAGCTTTTCTGGATATACACCTTGCTCTGCCAAAAAACAGAAAACATCTATCAAGCTGAGGAAAGCCATAATGACTTACTGCAAAGCTGCAAATTGCCTGAAGACGACAAAATGAAATCGGCCAGCCATGATGAAGCGAGAAAGTGGAAGACGACCTGTATGCAAAGGCAGATACAATTCAAACATATAGTCCTGGTTTCCCAGAGGGTACTGAACTACGTCCACCAAGCCACACTCGTAGGAAGATGTGACCACAGAGACCTGTACAGTGGGTGGGATGAGGTAAAGCCAGGCCATGACCAGGAACCCAGAAATGCAACCATGGGAACACAAGTGATGTGACCAGCTTATGACAGGACAGGGAATAATAGAGCATATATATATGGTGCAACAAACCTGCAGGACCCAAAACACGAAAGTGGCACAAATGGCAATGATTACCCTCTTATGGCAACTCAAAAGTCCTGTGACTTTGCTCTGCCTTAAAGGAGAAAAGACCATTGAGAAAGCATACATTCTTTTCAGAGTATAGAGCCACCACAGAGAAAAAAGACAGGAAAGCCCTGAAATCATGGGAAGCCAAAATCCTAGGCCCATCATAAAAGACATGGGAAGCCAAAATCCTAGGCCCATCCTAAAAGACATGGGAATATATCAGGGAGAGTACCTGTTTACCTTTTGATTTTTTGTTGACTATTTTGAGTTATTTTACTCATACTACTTGGTCTATGGCCAACCTAAGTGATTGCCTGTTCTGTGAGGTCTTTCATAGCCCAAAGGCCCACATATCACAGCCTGGGTAATCAGCTTTTTCATCACTAGCTGTAGTTGACTCCAAAAGCCTATATCATAAAGCCACCCAAACCTTCACAGACAAGCAGGAATACTAGAAAAAGGGAGAGCATTTTAGGAAAGTAAAACAACAAACCCCGAACTAAAACCCTCAGTGAGGTGGTGTGTATGCAGTCAAGGTTCCAAAATTCACATGCACCATTCAGAACAGGTATCTCTGATGGGCATACAGGAAAACATAAAACGATCCAATTAAAGGAACCCTAGCTACGGATGGAGTGAAATTGAAAGCTAGAGAACTCGCACTGTGAGTGGCATAAACAATTGTGAAGCATAAACAAAGAAATCAAAGCAATAGCCCACTGTAGAGCCATAATTCCATAGATTGCCAGCAACACTTAGGTAAAAGTGGGAAGCCAATAATGGGTCCAGCAGAGGCATCAGGTATTGAATGAGCTACAAGAATGAAAGGGCAGACTGGCTGAGACTCGGGTGATCTGAGCTGCCATTTAATGGTAGACAGGTACATCACTTGATAGGGTCATTTTATCCTTGTCAATGATCAGTTGCCTTGCTTTCCCTAGTGCTACTTAATTTCATTCAAGCAGTTGCACCTATGCTTTCTGGTGGGGGTTTCCCAGTGTTGTGGTTGATCTCTGAATACCTGCTCCCCTTGCCTCATAGTGAGAGCCAAATTCTGGCCCTGTCTCCAGGTAGGTGATGCATAGGTCTCAAAAGGCCTGGTGTGTTACCTGGAGCATACCTGGAGAGGGTTTCGGGAGATCTTCTACACCCCGAGCCCAGCCTGAGGCCAGGCTCAACTTGTGAAACTTTGTCCAACAGGCTGTTGCTTGGAATGACCCGCAGGCCCACATATCCACTACATGTGTTGGGCTAAGGCTTGATGGTACCAGAGTTAAGCTTGGAGAGCTACCGAGAGGTCCTTCCCAGAAACGATACACCACAAAAATAGAAGACAATGAAAAATTATTATTAATTAAACAATAAGCACATTTTTACAAGTATGGGATCATTATTATAGTGAGGCTACACTCAATGACTAAGCAACTTCAAACATTTCACTCACCCCCATAATGCGAGGCGTACCATGAGCTCGACAAATCTCCAGAAATTCAAAGACTTCCATCTCGATTCCAAATGTTGCATCGATGAGCATTAGGACAATATCAGCAACCTTTGCAATGTCAATCATACAGTTGATATCATTGTTCACTTCTATGAAAGTTAATCTTCTCTTTTTCCCTGAAAATAAAATTTATGTATGTACTGTATAATAGAAAATATCTTTAAAGCCATACACCAATAATTCACCAGGAAAAAGTAGCCACAACAAAAGTACCCTTCAGGTTGCCACCATCAAATTGTGTCTGCTTGAACCTCATTTTCTTTTTGGATGTCAGTTGCTTTCACAACTCTACACCCTTTAAGAGTCAATCAAGTAAGGTATTCCCACCGTTTCCTATGACAGTACTGCACACATATTAATGCAGTGCAATTATGATGAAATGTTATATTCATAAAAAATACAAATAAATTCTTTATCTTCTTCTAGCCATCTGACCTTCCTGGGTCCCTCCTCCCTCACTCTGTCAGAACCCTTTAACCTTACCTCATTTGCAATAAACATAATGCAGAAGGAAACTATATTGAACAAATACAGTACTGAAATCTTGAAACAAAATTACTGCAAACTTTCAAGAATAAAACACTTAAAATTACTTTAAAAAAAAATCATTACCAAGTTACTGTCCAATATCAACAGCAAACTCGTTTTTAGGAGCATACATTGACAGGAAGAGTTGGTAGCTTCCTGTGGTGCTGCCACCTGGTGAGGGACAGCTGTAACTTGAGCAGTTTACCTTGTGTTTACCATGTGTTGGTTTCAAGGATCAATGACCCCATGGCCTGGTCTCTGACCACTGACCAGGCCTCATGACTGGTGGTCAACCAGGCTGTTAGACATAGCTGCATGCATCCTGACATATGAATTACAGTCTAGTTGAGGGAATGTTGAAAAAGTCAGTTTTTCAACAGGGCAATTTTGCACTTTGTGCCATGCCTCTAGGTCTCGTGTAGTTATTTCCATGTGCAGATTTGGAACCAATCCTCTAATATTTTCCAAGTGTAAATAATTGTGTATCTCTCCTGCCTGTGCTCGAAAGAATGCAGATTTAAAAATTGAAGTGGTCCCAACAATTTAGATGTTTTATTGAGTGGATTAGGGCAGAAAAAGGTATTTGCATGTTCTACACGTTGGCAATTTCTCTAGCATTGCATGGGGCTGTTAGTGCAACAATATTCCACCCTCGTGTCTTAACCCTTACACCGCGCATATTAGGGAGCATAATGGGGGGTAGGTAGCAAAAATTATTTGAATTATGTAAAAAAACTTAAAAATGTTAAACAAATCTCCAACTTATTGGTTTCAGTGTCGTGAAACTTTCACCAAAATATTTTCAGAAATTGATTTTAGACGAATTTAACAAAAATAAGAATGTTTTGTTGATAAGGAGAACAGCTCCTAATAACTGGAACTGAAGGATAATGCAGTAATAACGAGATGCAAGCACCTGTCCAATGCTCAAAGAAGAAAAATAGTAGTATGAATTATCCACAAAGTGGATATGCAGTTGGTGCATTTATATCATTGCTGAGTAATACATAATAATATACATATTATTATGTTTATGTGTATGTATGTGTGTGTGTGTGTGTGTGTGTGTGTGTAATTACCTAAGTGTAATTACCTAAGTGTAGTTACAGGATGAGAGCTACGCTCGTGGTGTCCCGTCTTCCCAGCACTCTTTGTCATATAACGCTTTGAAACTACTGACGGTCTTGGCCTCCACCACCTTCTCACTTAACTTGTTCCAACCGTCTACCACTCTATTTGCGAAGGTGAATTTTCTTATATTTCTTCGGCATCTGTGTTTAGCTAGTTTAAATCTATGGCCTCTTGTTCTTGAAGTTCCAGGTCTCAGGAAGTCTTCCCTGTCGATTTTATCAATTCCTGTTACTATTTTGTACGTAGTGATCATATCACCTCTTTTTCTTCTGTCTTCTAGTTTTGGCATATTTAATGCTTCTAACCTCTCCTCGTAGCTCTTGCCCTTCAGTTCTGGGAGCCACTTAGTAGCATGTCTTTGCACCTTTTCCAGTTTGTTGATGTGCTTCTTAAGATATGGGCACCATACAACAGCTGCATATTCTAGCTTTGGCCTAACAAAAGTCATGAACAATTTCTTTAGTATATCGCCATCCATGTATTTAAATGCAATTCTGAAGTTAGAAAGCATAGCATAGGCTCCTTGCACAATATTCTTAATGTGGTCCTCAGGTGATAGTTTTCTATCTAGAACCACTCCTAGATCTCTTTCTTTATCAGAATTCTTTAAAGATTTCTCACATAATATATAGGTTGTGTGGGGTCTATGTTCTCCTATTCCACATTCCATAACATGACATTTATTAACATTAAATTCCATTTGCCAAGTGGTGCTCCATATACTTATTTTGTCCAGGTCTTCTTGAAGGGCATGACAATCATCTAAATTTCTTATCCTTCCTATTATCTTAGCATCATCAGCAAACATGTTCATATAATTCTGTATACCAACTGGTAGATCATTTATGTACACAATAAACATCACTGGTGCAAGAACTGAACCCTGTGGTACTCCACTTGTGACATTTCTCCATTCCGATACATTGCCTCTGATTACTGCCCTCATTTTTCTATCAGTCAGAAAATTTTTCATCCATGATAGAAGCTTACCTGTCACCCCTCCAATATTTTCCAGTTTCCAGAACAACCTCTTATGTGGAACTCTGTCGAAAGCCTTTTTTAGGTCCAGATAGATGCAGTCAACCCAGCCATCTCTTTCCTGTAATATCTCTGTGGCCCGATCATAGAAACTGAGTAAATTCGATACACAGGATCTTCCTGATCGAAAACCATACTGTCTGTCTGATATTATATCATTTCTCTCCAGGTGTTCTACCCATTTAGTTTTGATTAGCTTTTCCAATACTTTCACTATTACACTTGTCAATGATACAGGTCTATAATTGAGGGGGTCTTCCCTGCTGCCACTTTTGTAGATTGGAACTATGTTAGCCTGTTTCCACACGTCTGCTACGATTCCTGTACACAGGGATGCCTGAAAGATCAGGTGAAGTGGAATGCTGAGCTCAGATGCACATTCTCTCAGAACCCATGGTGAAACGCCATCTGGGCCAGCTGCTTTGTTCCTCCCGAGCTCCTTTAGCATATTTTCCACTTCATCTCTAGACACCTCTATCCGCTCTATGTTGTTCTCTGGAATTCTTATTGTGTCTGGTTCTCTGAAGATTTCATTTTGTACAAACACACTTTGGAACTTTTCATTTAATGTTTCACACATTTCCCTTTCATTTTCCGTGAATCTGTTTCCCATTTTCAACCTCTGGATATTATCCTTTACCTGCAATTTGTTGTTTATGAATTTGTAGAATAGGCCCGGTTCTGTTTTACATTTATCTGCTATCCCTTTTTCAAAATTTCTTTCTGCCTCTCTCCTTACTGCTGTATAATTGTTTCTCGCATCTTTGTATCGCTGGTATGTTTGGGGGTTCGGCCTCTTCCTGTATTGATTCCATTTTTGTGTCTTTCGGTCTCTAGCCCTCTCGCAATTTCTATTGAACCAATCCTGTTTCCTAGTTCTGCATCTCTGTTTTGGTATAAATTTTTTTGTGCCTTTATCATATATTTCACAAAACTTGCCATACATCTCATTCACTTCCTTGCCTAGCATCAAGTCTGTCCAATTATACTCACTAAAAAAATTTCTAAGGTCACCATAATGTCCTCTCCTGAAGTCTGGTTTTTCAACTGCTTCAACCTCCTTATTTTCTTCCAGCTTATAACGCATTGCATACTTTATTCCCAAAAAGACATGGTCACTTTTACCCAAGGGAGGAAGGTACTGAATGTCAAATATCTCTTCCTCCTTCCTGGTAAATATCAAATCTAGCATGGAGGGAACGTCCCCTTCCCTCATCCTCGTAGCTTGTTTAACATGTTGATACAAGAATGTTTCCAGGATGAGGTCTACAAATTTACAGGTCCAAAAATCTTCTGTTTTAGCTTCATATGCTTCCCAGTCTATGGATTTCAAGTTGAAGTCACCGACTATCAACAGTCGTGATCTATCGTTATCCGCTCTCGCTATAATCTCTCTCATTATTGTTATAAGACCTTCACGTTTACTATCTAGCTCCTCCTTTGACCATGTGCTGCTTGGCGGTGGACTATATGCATTTATCATCATTAGTTTATCATCCTCATAGCAGATCTCTAGTGCTATTATGTCAACTTCTTGTGGATTGGCAGTCATTATTTCCTTCACCTTTAGGTGTTCTTTTACCAGCACAGCAACGCCACCGCCTTTCCTAATTTTTCTGTCCCGTCTCCAAATTGAGTAGCCCCTTGGGAATATGACCTCATTTAAAATTACATCTTCAAGTTTTGTCTCCGTGAGTGCAACAATGTCTGGTGTCTGCAGCTGTATTACATCACTTAACTCCAGTATCTTCGATCTCACTCCATCTATGTTGGTGTATGCAATCTTCAGGAACTTGTTCCCCCTCTCCTTATTCTTCACTCCCCCTCTCTCTATTGATTTTGTTGGTTTGCCTTTATGTACCACTTTACTGGTTTGCCTACCCCTATCACTTTGTAGAAAAAAGAATTTATTTCTTCTTCATTCCTGCTCTCATTTAAATGTTTTGCCTCGGCGAGGTTCAGTTTCAGCTTCTCTCTATCTTCTTTTGAAAGATCTCGTCTTAACGACCACCCTTTCCCATCCTCATCCCTTTGCAATTTTCTAGCATTCCTTAGTACTTCTTTCATCTGTTTGGCACCGTTTAGGGTGATCCTCAAAGGTCGATCTTTCCCTTTTACGTACCTGCCTATTCTCCTGTAGTCGCACACATTCTCTCTGTTTGTAAGACCTTCCACGAGGCCAACAATTTTATCTACTACTTTAGCTTCTTCTACAGCTCTTTCTGACCTAGATGTTATCGCCTTTTCTTTGCAGCCAAAAATGATCAGGGACTTAATCCGATCAACTGTGTTTTGCACCAACTTCGGGTTAGATGCCAATTCTTTCCTCACTTCTAGCCTAATGTTTGTTTTATCTTGGTTGCTGCAGTGTTTGACTTCCTTTACTGCTTCTTCTATTTTTTCCTTCTCCTTGGCCACT